GATTGAAACCTATTTGTTAAATATTCCAAAACTTTTCAACAGATTATTTTATTTCTACTTAATTTTTGGTGATATAATATCAATAATTTAATATTAAACTTTTCAAAGATTTACAGTCATTTGTACCATTTCAACCTAATGTACAATTTTTACTTTGAAAAATATAAATTAAGTGATAGTTATATTGTAATCACACCAAGGATAATTATCCATAAATTAAAAGAATATAAAATTTAGAATATTTATTGAAATGCTTAGATTCGGAAATTTCTTAACTATGATATTTTTCCATATTTATTTGAAATATCGTTGTCTGCTTTTTTTTTTTCTTATTAAGTATTATGTTATTTCCTTTTTAAAAATTTGATAATATTTTTATTTGTTACCTAAGTTTTATATATAATATTAAATTAACCTTCATTTTAAGATATTCAATTTCATACTCATATATTCTAACGTATTATTAAGTTTATTAGTTACTGTTACATATATAAAATAAATTTAAATTTATTATTTAATACCGATTTAGAAACAAGAAATTAGTCAAAAGTTATTTATTCAATAAAATATAATTGCATATATAATAAAATATATAGTATAAAATAATATAATGCCAAAAAATGTAAAAATATAAGTAAACGACCATTTTGAGAATTAAATGTATACGACATTAAAATGATAAACCAATGGGTTATTTATCGAATCACTATGTAAAATTATTAGATTATAAAGGGTTAAAATATTTATAATATTTATTATTATAAATTATGATAAACTAACGAGTTGTCGTCGAACTGCAATATAAATTATAAGTTGAGAATGAAAAATAAAATATTTATAATTTATATTATTATAAATTATGATGACAAACCATTGGATCATCTGTCAAATTATCCATCTAAACTGTTAACGTATAAAGAAATATTAAAATATTTATTATAATATATATTTTTAGAAATTAAAATAATAGAGCAATGAGTCATTTGTCGAACAATGATAAAAATTGTTAGTATGAATAAAAATAAAATATCTATAATATATATTGTTGTAAATTATAATGATAAATCAACTGGCCATGAACTGCCATGTGAATTATTATAATATATTTTTTAAACATTTATAATATACATAATTATAAATGATAAAAAAATATTGAATATTTTCTTCAAATACGTAATTAAATTTTTTTAAAATTTTATAATTTTGAACTCAGATACAATACATAATTTTTAAATTAAATCTCAGTTATAATATTTTCTACAATTTTTTAACCTTACTATCATTTACATATTGTAACCATATATTATACTAATATAATTATTTTTGTAAGTATTATTCACTGATAATGTTTGAATATATATGTTAAATTTTCGTCTTCATTAATTCTAAATAAAATTCTAAAATAACAAGTATTTTACAACGGATGAAACGCGCATATATATCATTTATTAAACTATTATATATCATAAAAAAACAATAATATTTAACATTAAAAAATTATACTAACTAATGATTTTTATTTATTTTAATTTATACGATTTATCATTATTACTCCGTCCATTGTACGTACGAACAAAGGAACAACGGTCTTGCTTAATTCTACGGGCAAAACGAAAGAAAATGGAACAATGTGATCTTTGATTTCCTATTATGA